ACACATACAGATCAATGGAACCAGAGAATCCAGAGATAGAAGCACATATAAAATGAACTGATTTTAGACAAACATTTCAACACAATTAAATGGGGAAAGGAAAGAAATGATGCTAAATCTACTGAATATTCATAAAGAAAACACTGCCTCAGTTAACTCATAAAAAAACTAAATTTGAGATGGATCATAGATCTAAATGTAAAGCCCAAAACTATAAAACTTCTAGAACAAAACACTTGTGTGATTTGGGGTTGGGCACAGATTTCTTATAAAGAACATAAAAAGCCCTAACCACAAAATAAATTTTAAAAAATACATTGGATTTCATTAAACTTTAAACTTTTGTGCTTTAGGAAGCATCATTAAGAACACAAAAAGGCAAGCCACAGACTGGAAGAAAATATTCCCAACATACGTATCAGAAAAAGGACTATATCCAGGAAAAAATATATACACACACATACATGCATGCCCACAGTCTTTAACCACAACATAAGAACACAAAATACCATTTAAAAATAAGGGAAAAAATCTGAACCTACTTGACTTGTAAACTAGGACTGAAAAAATAAGCAAATAAATTGTAGGTAACGGTTTCTCACTATCAGAAAAGATACTACAAATAAACAAAATGAGTGGGACGTGGCTAGAATAAACTCCGTGGTGTTAGAGTTGAATATATTAGTATGAGCTCACATTAATTGCAATACAGAGAGAGACAGATGTTTGTGTGCACCGGCTCTGTTCACTAAGAGGGCCTAGAAGCGGTTACAACTCAGCAGCAACAAGTATACCCAGTGCCCAGACCTTGTTCTAAATACCATTATCCAATGAAAGGAACAGGAATCCTAGGAGAAATGGCTGATTCTAGGGCTGAGACAGGGGAAATACATGATGAGCCTGGATCACACAGTGCCAGAAATTAAGAACCTGCTTTAAAAAACAAACGAACAAAAAAGGGGGCATGTCAAAAAGGCACAGAAGCCAACTTGAAAGAGCTCTCAATGTCACTGTTGAAGCAAGAAAATAAATAACACAGTATCAGATTATAACCTAAAGTATAAAATAAATACACACAAATCTATACTGATAAACAAATGATTGAATAAAAAATAAATGGGAGTGGCGGGGAGAAGGGACAAATCTTCACAAGAAAATGCCGAATAATGTATGTAGATAGTCTCCCTTCCAGGAGGTGGAGCTTAAGTCTCCTCTTCTTGAGTAAAGACAGGACTTACTTACTACCTTGGTTTCAAAAAACTGAGTGTGGAAAGGGAACTTTAGAGAGGATAAACCTGGGAGACATTATCTTAACCAAGTGATCAAGGTTATCAACAGTGATTTGTCACAGTGATTTAAAAATAGGAAAGAAAGAAAAGCTGTCAAAGATTAGAGAAACCTAGGAAGTCATGATGACTAAATCCAGTGTGGTATCCTGGACTAGATATTGGAATTAAAAAAAGACATTAGGACCTAGTCTAATCACAACAAAACATCAGACAAATCCCAATCAAAGGATATTCTATAAAATACCTATTAATAATGGGAGAAACTGGGTATGGGGTTTACAGGGTAATTCTCTGTACTATCTTTGTAACATTTCTATAAATCTAAAAAGACTGTAAAATAAAAGACTTTGGTGGAAATATTGGTGAAACCCGAATAAAGTCCATAGTTAATAGTGATATATCAACGTTAATTTTTGGTTTGATGATATACCAAGTCATATGTACAATGTCAAATAACATAGTCATACAAGACGTTAACGTTAGGGGAAACTGGATGAAAGGTGTATGAAAGCTCTCAGAATATTTTTGCAAGTTTTCTAGAAATCTAAATAAAGAGTTTTTCTTTTATATATTATATATTTTTTTGTATTTTTGTGAATTTTTTTTTGATTTTTTGTTTTTTTAAGAGTTTTTCTTTTTTTAATGGGCAAAAATATTTAAAATGACACCTCTTAAACATGAATAACCAATAAAGATAAGAAAAATGTTCATAATAGAAATACAATTATAAGCCAAAATAAGAAAGCACTACACACCCAATAGTATAGCTAAAATTTAAAAGACTGATCTCTTAAACAAAACGGACAAATTACTGAACAATGTAAGTTACCAAAGCTCACTCAAGAAGTTACTGAAGCAGGTAACTTCAATAACACTTCAACTACTAAAGAACTGAATTCCTAGCTCAAAGCCCACAAAGAAAACAACAGGCCCAGATGGCTTCTCTGGCAAATTCTACCAAACATTAAAGAAATAATTCCAATTCTACACTTATTCTTCCAGAAAACAGAATACAACTTTCCAGTCATTAGCTGTGACTAACATTACCCAACAACAAAATCAGAAAAAGAGATGACAAGACAACAAACTAGGGACCAATATTCCACATGAATGTAGATGCAAAAATCCTTCACAAAATTCTAGCAAACTGAACATGGAAATAAACATAAAAAGAATATTCATCATGAACAAGAGGGGCTTTCCCTAGGAATGCTAAGTTGGATTAACATTCAAAAATCAATCACTGTATTTCACCATCATAATACAAGAGAAAAAAAACATAAAATTATCTCAACAGATACAAGGAAAGGCAACTTGACAAAATCCAAAACATATAAACAAAAATTCAAAATGACAAAAGCAGAAATTTCCTAAAAAACATAATTAAATACCAAAAAAATTATGTTGGACATTGCTGTAATGTGAGAGGATGCCATGTTTTTGAAAGTCATCAAGTATGTACCCAATTTCTTCTAACAGTTAATTACATTTTCTCTTAGAAGGTAATCTGATTTCTTTCCCCATCAAGTACTCCTTCTGACTGCATTTATACTTAGGCTAAAATTAAAATTAATCTTATGCATTGAAAATGCTTGGGTAGGAGTATGATGACCTTGGGTCAATTTGGAAAGGGAATGAAGAAAAAAGATAATAGCAAAGGCTTTTGATTTGCTACAGGTAAAACCTAAATTAGATAAAATTAACAAGTACATGGCATACATGGCATTAGTCCCTGAAAGGAGACCAATAAACCAAAATTTCTGCTTCTATTTGTCAAATGATTATGGGACAGTTGCTTACTTCATGCAGTCTCATTCTCCTGTTCTTTAAAAAGAGAAGATTATGCTAGATTCATTCTCAAATTCAACAAATATTTATTGAGCACCTACTATGTGTCAAACACTTCCCCAGACACTAGGGAATAACAGAAGAGAGGGGGAAAACATAAGACAAAAATCCCTCTCTTCACAGAGTTTAGAGAGACAGACAAATAAAATACATATGTAAAGTATACAGCTTGTTAAAGGGTAATAAATACTATGGAGAAAACAAAGCAGGAAAGAGAACAGAATGTACCGAGGCGGGTAGTTTTAAGTGGGGTTACAAGGGACCTAGATTTCTAGGTTCACTTTCAGTTCAAAAATCCAATGATTTTCTTATATGTTGACCAGGCAGCATAAAAACACACAGTGAACCTCTGAACCTGACCTCTTTAAACTCATACATTCTATCACCTTGCTCTGCGTGTCACCACTTATATTTTAGAAAAATAGGATTAAACATACATTTTTCTATACTGAGACAAAGCATATGCTGTCATTTAATGAAATAAGTAATTTCCCAGTCTTGCCTTGGGAGAGGAAAATAAGAAAACTAAAACCTAGCAGTTTCTCCCCAGACAAAGGCTCCAAAAATGTGGCATTTCTGTACACTACAGAAAGGATTAAAATTAGCTATTTTTTCTCCTCCTCCAATATATCTGCGGTCTGGAATTTGTTCCTTTATTGGGCCTAAGTTACAATAAGAGGTGGTTTAACAGTTTCTCCAAAGTGGAATATTTTCCATAGGCAAGAAAAGTTATATGAATAGTAAGTATTACCACTATAGTTACTGCAGCTACCATATTTTGTATGCCTGCTACATGCCAGGTACAGCACAAGCCGTTTTATATATTAGGTTGCACAATATGATACTGCCATTTAAAGGTCAAAATCAGCAATTTTATATAGATTAAATACTTTATCATCCATTAATTTTAAATTCCATGAGAGAGAAGTCTGTGTATGTTAACTGCAGTGTTGCTTTTTCATAGTTCATCTACTGAATTATTATCTAGGGCAAATCTTAAAGGTAACGGAACTTTCGTTTGGGGATATAAAGACCTCTTGCCAGGTTGATAGCGCTGCGAATAACAACTGGAAGACACTATGACACTGAGTTCGTACAAACAATTACCTAAAATTTTTTTATTTAGGACTTAATTTGAGGAGTTGAAATGATCATTATCCATAGTTCAAATTTCGTCAAAAGCTATCAATAGCCACGTGGCTTTACTTTGAGAAAAGCTCAGTTTATTAGTTATACCCACTACTTTACTTAAAAAGACAGAATCTTCATTCCAAAATTAATATTTTTTTCTCCACTAGAAAGATTATAAAGCAACGCAAAATTATACTAATATCTTAAATCTGTTCATTTGGATTGGAATTTCTATTTCTTTGGAAATACCTCATTAAAAGAATCTTTTCCAAAAGAGAACACTGTCCATAAACCATCCTATTAAGTTCAATCTAAATAATTTTAAATTCATCTTTTAAAAGCAGATTAGTCCCTAAAGTTTATTATTTTTTCCTTCTGGCAGCTATTTTTCATTCACTATACAGTTTTTGTCTAGAGTTCACATTTATGAGATATTAATAAAATAGCTTTTGATTATCTTCTAAGTAACTGTATGTAATCTGAAGTTTTAACTAGCATAAAAAGGCAGGCACTTTGTATGTTACATAATTAGCAGATGGGGAGGTTTATTTCTAGTTTAAATGCTAAAAGAAGTCTCAGTGAAAAAAAAAAAAGTCTCAGTGAAACATTTAGAGAAAAAGAAAAGAAAGAAAAAACTACCTAAAGTTTTTTGGGGGAAATTAATACAAGAAGAACATGATGATCACATTTAGAAATCAAGGAGTTTGAACAGGTTAATATATAAAAACCTACCAGCTCATTGCTTGTAGATGTGAGTCTTAGTTTTTCTTCAATTTCCTTTCCAATTTTCTGAACAGTTACCTGAGTCTGTTTAATTGCACACTGGGCTCTATGAAGCCTAGAAATAAAAGTTACAGAAAAATTTAAGTGAATTAACTGTAAACTCTCAACACAGAGCCACAGGACACAAATGGAACGAAATGAGGACAAAGTTTCCAGGATAAACAGAATTAATAATGAACTCAAACTGATCATTTCACAAGTCTCTAGCATATTTACAACAGGGAAATGACAAGAGTTACAATATGTTCTAGAAACACCCTTTCTATATCCACCTGACTGCCTCTGATGTATTGAGAGCTAAGATGCAGAATTCACAGGAATCTGAGAGACCTTAGAAAATAATCTGACTAAATCTTATCATTTGAAAGATTTAGAAACTGAGGCCCAGAGAAATTAAGAGCATTACTTAAGTCACCAGAAGAACATCACTGCTATAAAAGCTGACTATTACTTATGGGTATTCATAAAGAAAAAAGAAATTTAACAGTAATCCCAAATTAAGAGGACTGAATTAAAGCAGCAGCCTCTTTGAAACAAGGAACATTGGAAAAATTAAGAGTTATTTTCCTTTTTTGCTTTAATTATGGGTTTGTGTTTTTCTTGATCTCTTTGTCTCTAAGTATCACTTATATATTTTGTATACATGTACATATTAAAAATGGTCAAATGTCTTAATTTGCAGATGGCATTATTTTCATTTTTCATGTAGAAAATCATTGAGAATCTATAAAACAACTACTAGAACTGATAATATCACAGGATACAAGGTCAACATTCAGTTATATTTCTACATACAGCTCAGTAATTTTACAATCCCAATCCCAACAGACTTTGTGTGTGTGTGTGTGTTTTTCTTATTGTAAATTAAGAAGCTGATATATATTATAAATTATATAGAAAAACAATTAATTTAGAGATAAACCAATCTTGAAATCTGCCAGACTTCTTTTTTTTAAAAAGCTACATAATCAAAACAATATGGTCCTGGCATAAGGATAAAAAAAATAGATAAATGGAACAGAGTAAAGAGTACAGAAATAAACCTACACATACATGGCCAATTGATTTTGGACAAAGGAAACTAGGCAGATTAATGGAGAAAGGAAAGATTTTTAAGTCAATGGTGCTGGAACATTGGATAAATATAGTCAGGAAAAAATGAATCTCATTTCCTACCTCACAACACAAACAAAAAAATTAATTCAAGGAAACCATAGTAAACATAAAAGCTAGTACCATAAAGTTTGTAGAAGAAAACACAGGAGAATCTCTCGCTACTCTGAAGCAGGCAAAGATTTCTCAGCAAAGACATGAAAAGCACTAACCATAAAATTAAAAATGGATAAACTCTGCTTTACCAAAATAAAAAATGTCTGTCCATCTAAAGATGCCATTAAGAAAATATAAAAGTAGACCATGGACTGGGAGAAAATACTTGCAAAACAGCAGCCTGACAAAGTACTCTCTGGAGTATATAAAGAACTCTTACAAATCAGTAACAGAGACAACCTAATCAAAAATGAGCAAAAAGAGTGAAATATTCCACAAAAGAAGATATAAGGAAAGCCAATAAGCAAATGAAAAGGTGCTCAAAATCTTAGCTGCCATGGAAATGCATATTAAAATTGTAATGAGATACCATTTCACACCTTAGAATACTAAAATTAAAATGACAACACCTAATGTTATCAAGGATGTGGAGCAACTGACACTTGCATGCATTGCTGGCAAAAGTGTAAAATAGTATCACCACTTTGGAAAAATGTTTCTTATAAACTTAAACATTCAGTTAACCCATGACCCCGTATTTCTACTCCGTAACATTTACTCAAGAAATATAAAAACAAAGGGATAGACTGGGATTTCAAAATTGTAGAATAGACAAACAAGATTATACTATATAGCACAGGGAAATATATACAAGATCTTACGGTAGCTCACAGAGAAAAAAATGTGACAATGAATATATATATGTTCATGTATAACTGAAAAATTGTGC